GATCTACTCATCTGGGTGGAATAGAGGAAGTTGTGGCGATAATTCATAACACTTAACACACACACACACACACACACACACACACACACACACACACACACACACACACACACACACACACACACACATTCTGGATCTCAAACAGAATGCACAATCCCTTCGAGGTTGTACACCACATACAACGGACTTTACGACTATGTACACGAACCTGCCACACGACAGGATTCTTGACAAAGCACATGATTATGCTTTGGGGCGGATCTCACAGGGCAAAAGGCCACTACAGATGTACATGACCATAGGAGGTCCTCGTCGTGGGGAGTGGGTTACTTCACATGGATCAGACACCCTCTCAGTGTCAGAAATAGAGCAACATTTGCGTTTCGTGGTCTCTAATACTTATCTTTATACGAGGAGTGGCACTCTGCGCCATCAGGTGGTCGGTATCCCTATGGGCACTAATGTCGAACCAGAAATTGCCAACCTCACACTTTATTGGAACGAAGCACAATTCATCAATGATCTTCGTCGGCGAGATCTCCGTGCTGCGCAAGCATATGCATTCACATACCGATTCATTGATGACATTCTATCCTGGAAGACATCACCGTCGTCTCCTGCTCGGTATGGTCTTGAGTGGAAAGAAACTATTGAACAAGATGGGTCATGTCTTTTCCTTGGGGCAAGAATCCTGGTTCGGCCTGATGGCTAACTTCGCATTGGCGTATTTGATAAGGCCGAGGCCTGGATGTTCCCTATCAGTGCTTCCTCCAATGCCCTGGCTAATCAGCCTGCGGGTGTGCTCACGGGACAACTAACGAGATTTGAACATATATGTAACAATACCACCGACTTCAAAGCGGCAGTGACTTCCTTGACACGACGTATGCTTGTCAGGGCCCATCCTCCCAGTATCCTGGCTAGAGGCTGGGCTGCATATGTGTGTGGCCAGCAGTGCCGACTACCGATTCATGTCACACGACTTTCGAACTGGTTTCGCCGCATGGTTCGCTGGGCAAGTGCTCACCCATTCCCATAAGCTGATTGTGTGCACAGGTCCTCCACCCAACCGCACACAAGAGACCACCACTCACCGCCTAACACCAATGTTGGCCGCAGCCAGCATCAGCCCTCCGCACAATCAAACACAGTCGGCCCTCCCTCCCCTGTTATCCCTACTGAAATGGCAGACACTAATGTCGATACGCCAACTCAGCCAGAGACTATGTCAGCCGCAATAAACAATGTAAACGTTACCGAAGTGGCTGCAAGGGATGAAGGCCAGCATCCTACCAATATGGCGACTGTTGCTGCTGTTGCTGAAGGTATACCTCCTCCACTGCCATTGCTGCCACCACCACCACCACCTCCACCCCTACCACCACCACCACCACCACCACCACCACCACCACCATCAGCACCACCGCCACCATCATCAGAGCCACCCCCATCGACGTCCTCTATCGGAGCATCCTCTTAGTCATCTGCCTCTTCTTCTTTTTCTTCCTCTTTCCCTACTTCTTCTTCCTCTTGTCCCTATTCCTCCCCTCCCTTCGATACTTCCTCATCATTGACCTCATCATCAACACATTCATGGTCAGATCGGTCGTCACGAAGGCACTGTCAGTCGAGGCATCCGCTGTTAGATCGATCGTTACAGATGCCTTTTCGGCGGAGACGTTCCCCGTCTCCACTGCAAGCTCCGAGACAGAGGCCTCGTTCGTCGTTGAATGGCATGATCACCGCGCCCCCTGCAGGGGTTAGAGATCTGCTCTGATGACATACTCGCAACCAAGCGGAACGACATTGTCGCTTTCAGTATACACTAGCGAGGAATAGTGCACATCAAGTCCGATGCCCGCAATGTGGTGATGATTTCTTCAGTGCTGCAGGCTTACGAGTGCACCAGACACGGGGTGGAGCTACTTGTACAGCGTTTGAATGGCTAGCAGCCGCCCTGAGCATAAGTGAGGTTGATCAGGTTCCAATTCCCACATCTGGTCCACCCAGTTCTCACCCACCTGACCCACCCCTCTCTCATCCACCTAGCCCTGCTCGCTCCCCTGCCCCAAATGACAATGGCGCGTCTCCTGATTACCTGATGGAGCCCCTGGTTGAAGATCATCTCTCTCCGGAGCACATACCGGAGCCAATTGGTCAAGACCACAGCGAGTCCCCGCCACCTGTGCAACCTGCAGAATCGAACGAGGATCCCCCTGCCGTGAACGGATCCCCCACGCAACCTGCGGAATCAGACAATGTCATAGCGCTACAGAGAGGGAGCTGTGCGTGCTACGCCATTAATGTATGTCTCCTTGCTTACAATTGTAATCCTTATACTGTTTCTGATTTCGCAGAGGTTGTTCATTGGATAGAAGAAGAGCACCGTGCCGTCTGCCCAGAGGATGACAGCGCTGCGCCTGGTGTGAACATAGAAGTCCTGGCTATGGCATTTATGGGTAGGCGACTGCAATTCCAGCCTGCTCCGCAAAACCACGTGCCAGGCAGGGATCCAAATATTTGGGCATATATCTTATATCGTCCAGGTCACTTCAGTGCTCTTACCTTTGCAGATAATTCATGGACCCTATGGGACAATGGCGGTAGGGTGCACACAGTGAAATATTAACTCTTTCTATCACCAAATGCTGGAGGATCACTCAGTCTTGCTCATCCATCAGGAACAGTATGTCGATGAACACTTGCAAGCACTGCACTCCCCGGAGAGCAATCCGGGTGATTCTACCACAAACAGTGAAAGGACCTCTCCACAGGATGATGGCTGTGCCCTCCCGTTGTGTCGTCGCACAGGTGCAGTTCGGTTGGCATGTACACGACATAGCCTCTGCTCCGAACATTATGAAGGGATGGTCGCTGCTAGCCTCTCACACGAAAATTGTGGTTCCCTGTCCTGTGCTCATTCCCCCCACCCCCTGATTACTTGCCCAGCATGCCGTTGTGGCCTTGATCTGCCATGCTTAAATAACTGTGCACATCAGCCTCCCATACTAATGACATCTCAGCAACATGCCATGTGTCGTCAATTCTTCCAGGAAGCTGTCATAGTCAGTATGTGTCTTTACTGCGTGGACTATCCCCGGTGCCATCACCCTCCGCATCCTCTCCTAGCATGTCCCACATGCGGTGTTGGTCATACACCTATGGCAACCGCTGACGGATCTCCCTCTTTCTTGCCAGATGAACGACGGACACAGCAGTCCGAGGAGGAAAATAGACTTCTATATGAACCACCGGCAGAGTGATGTGCTCACAGTTTATCACCACCAGGGCGAACTGTTGCGGATCAAATCCTTCAGCAGCTGAACGCCCTTGCGTTGGACGGATCCTCCCTGCCGTCGTCTGCACATAGAGAAGGAATACATACTGAGGAAGCCCAAGAAAGATGCTCCATGCCGCTTTGTGATGACCCGCCGGCGATTCAACTAGCATGTGGTTTGCATGCCTTGTGCCGTGAGGATTATGAAGGGATAGTCCATGCGAGTTTTTGCTTCCATACATACGATGACAGTCAGTACTGTACTCGTGTACGGCACCCCGACATGTCATGTCCAATTTGTAGACAGGGGCTGGAACGGCAATGCCTCTATAATTGCGGTCGACGTGCCTCTGTGTTCCTAGCATGTACGAGCCATGTAGCCTGTGACATCTGTCTGCGCCGTGCCATTCGATGCAGCAACTGTGACTGCGAAAATCGGATGCGGTGCTTCCATATCCTACACCCGAACCGGTCCTGTCCAGTCTGTAGGGTTGGCCACTCGCCATAGGTTTTTTTTGCTAGAGTAGTCTGTTTCAATGGTGAATATTTAGAAATATGTAAAGCTCGTCATACACCTCTCCCCTGCTCTTTGCATGTCATACTCTATCCTGCCCTCCACATATTTCTTTCCTTCCCGTTGCCCCTACCTCCCCTGCCCCATACTCCTATAGAAGTCCACCTTCTATCCCTTACCCTCCACCCTCCCTTCCACTCCCTTTGTGCTACTAACAAATATATACAAATGAGCATCATTAAGAGAACAGACAATATGAAGATCAGAAATGAAATGAAGTGAAGTATGAAGATGAAGGACGGACACAAAGACTGTATAAGCTGAAGATCTGAAGTGAAATGAACAGGAGTATGAAGCTCTGAAGAGAAATGCACAGAAGCATACCTTCCCTTTTACTCTGCCTCCTGAAATAACGTGCAAGTGGGCCGTGAAGGCACACAGGGATGTGGGCAGCTGCCGCTCAACCACAATCAACGTGGGTAGCCTTGTGTGTAAGAGGCACAGTAAAAAGGGAGCTGCAAGAACAATGAAAGGGGTACCACAAGGACAACCAAAAAACTGTCTAATTATAAAATTGCTTTAATATGTTGGACATCTCAAATGCTCTCGTTGTCTGCAATAGGACAAAGACTGCTTTGATTCTGAATCTATTCATCTGGGTGGAATTGGGGCTGTTGTGGGGAAAATCTAAAACACACACACACACACACACACACACACACACACACACACACACCCACACCCACACAGACACCCACACACACACACACACACACACACGCACATACATACATACATGCCTGCCTTCCTGCCTGCCTGCCTGCCTGCCTGCCTGCCTGCCTGCCTGCCTGCCTGCCTGCCTGCCTGCCTGCCTGCCTAGGTTGATTGATAGATGAAATCTAATAGACAGATATAAGACACATATTAGATAATTATTAATTACACTGCAGAGTGTGCAGTCTTTGTTTGCAGAGGCGGTCGTTCCTTTCCCTTTTTTTTTTACGTCCTTGTGCAGGGGCCATGCTAATCTTCTCTGCATCGTTCGGACGTTGATGGATGTCCCAGAGGACAGGTCGTTTCTTTTCTGGTTCTTTTCCTACCCATTTTTTCTTTTCCCTGTTCATGTTACTTTTTTTTTTTTTTTTTTCCCCATGTTGTGACCAACTTTGATTGGATTGTATGTTTCTGCAACCTGATGGGAATGTGAAGCTACCACGTAGCCAGGTGCACGCGGAAGCAAAAGCCTTGTATCAATCTCAAGCGGCAGGCAAAACACTAAGTCAGCAAGTGGTCTCGAAAGCTCAGAACCAGGTCCAAATACCAGTCCAGGTTCAGAATGACAGTTTCGTGCAGAATGGCGGTCAGCTGAAAACACAAAGTCCCACCACACCTTCCATGAGGCAAGGTAAATCTCAAGGTACTGTTCAGACCAAGGAACAGATTCTGAACCAGGAACAACACAGTGCCTTGGCAGCTAGTGACCGGCCTTCAACAACACATCTCCAGGACACAACCAAAGTTGTCCATGACCGAGGACTGCGGGTTGGGCAATCTGACGGAGCAGCAGAGAGATCATCAACGGCTACAGCTGCGCCTGTGGTTCAGGCTGAGGATGGTCAGACCCCAGGTGCTAACCCAACAGCAGCAGGGAAAAGGTCCGATGGAAAGGAAACACAAGAAGCAGCAGCAGCTGGAGGAGGAGGAGGAGGTACGGGGGGGATTATTTCAAAATCGCAAAACCAACTTCGTGTTGCTTTGTGCGCAGCAGACTATGTCGAAGTCCTTCACCGCTGCGTTCCGGCCTCCTCCTCTAGTGCTGCTGTGAGTTCGGGAAGCAATGGGGAGACTTTGGTGTGGAGGGACGGGTTCCCAAGATCGCCAGACTCCCTTCTTGTCGCAGACAGCTTTGGGGTAGAGCTCAACTCAGTCCGACCACAGTCGCCATTGCCCAAGAAACCAGGACAAAGGTACTCTGATTCTTGCAAGGGGCTGTCGAAAGGGAGGGCCGAAGGGGGAGGGCATGGGG